CGACTCTCAAAGGCATTGACTGAAACGATATACTCTAACGATAAGGTTTGACTCTTATCTCTAGAGTGTAATGCGATAGATATGTTTTGTGTACATTTCCAGTAGTTATGAAATTTGCACGAAGCCACCGCGTTACATTCTGGCGATCTTGAATCCATATTCCTTATCGTTTCTCTCGTCAGCAATGATTTCCCTTTTTCTCAGACTGTACGGGTTAATTTAACACCTTGACTGCTGCTATGATACTAGAAAAATAAATTTTTAAGTTAAGTCGTCGAAGGAAATAAATTTGGATAGAATTTGTGAATTTTAATAAGGTTACACAGATAGGTAATGAAACAAATTTTAGGTTAGGTTGTGACAGGACCCATTATAATACTAGGAAAATTAATTCTCAAGTTAAGAAGTCAAGGAAAATAACTTTGGTTGGAATTTGTGAATCTTGACAAGGTTACGAAGATAAGTAATGAAAGAAATTTTAGGTTAGGTTGTGACAGGACCCATTATGATACTACAAAAAGTAATTCTCAAGGTAAAACGTCGAGGGAAATAAATTTCAATGGAATTTGTGAATTTTAACAAGGTTACGAAGATAAGTACTGAAACAAATTGTAGGTTAGATTGTGACAGGATCCATTATGATACTAGAAAAATTAATTCTCAAGTTAAGACGCCGAAGGAAATTTTGGATGGAATTTGTGAATTTTAACAAGGTTACGAAGATAAGTACTGAAACAAATTTTAGGTTAGGTTATGAAAGGACCCATTATGATACTAGAAAAATTCATTTTCAAGTTAAGTCGTCGAGGGAAATAAATTTGAATGGAATTTGTGAATTTTAACAAGGTTACGAGGATAAGTACTGAAACAAATTTTAGGTTAGGTTGTGACAGGACCCATTATAATACTAGGAAAATTAATTCTCAAGTTAAGAAGTCAAGGAAAATAACTTTGGTTGGAATTTGTGAATCTTGACAAGGTTACGAAGATAAGTAATGAAAGAAATTTTAGGTTAGGTTGTGGCAGGATCCATTATGATACTAGAAAAATTAATTCTCAAGTTAAGACGCCGAAGGAAATTTTGGATGGAATTTGTGAATTTTAACAAGGTTACGAAGATAAGTACTGAAACAAATTTTAGGTTAGGTTATGACAGGACCCATTATGATACTAGAAAAATTCATTTTCAAGTTAAGTCGTCGAGGGAAATATATTTGAATGGAATTCGTGAATTTTAACAAGGTTACGAAAATAAATATTGGAACAAATTTTAGGTTAGGTAGTGGCAGGATTTACCCATTATTTTCAAGTTAAAGCGTCGAAGGAAATAAATTTCGATAGAATTTGTGAATTTTAACAAGGTTACGAAGATAAGTACTGAAACAAATTGTAGGTTATGTAGTATCAAAATTTGCCCATTATGACACTAGAAGAATTAATTCTCAAGTTAAGTCATCGAGGGAAATAAATTTGGATGGAATTTGTAAATTTTAACAGGGTTACAAAGTACTGAAACAAATTTTAGGTTAGGTTGTGACAGGACCCATTATTATACTACAAAAATTAATTCTCAAGTTAAGGTGTCGAAGGAAATAACTTTTGATGGAATTTGTAAATTTTAACAAGGCTACGAAGATAAATACTGAAACAAATTTTAGGTTATGTAGCTTACAATGGTATAAAATCAAAATTTGAATCTTGCAAGATATCATACAGTTTTCATCTGACAGTGAACTTGTTAAAATGGTTCCCTGTACTTAGCGGCGTATTATACCAGAGACAATGCAGACAATTTAGGAGTATTTGTTGAAAACGATACCCACGACAAATTCGATGTTTCTACGGAGAATTTCCAACTCAGGTTTAAAGCGGAAGGTCCGGTACTGCCGTGCCAGACATTCTTGAGGAAGTGGTCTTTAATGCCTATGGGCGTTGAATGCTCGGAACATATAACATTACATGCACACGCTGTCAGTAGTCGTTCATATTTGTCGAAATGGAGATAACATTCTATGATTCCGTTCGCGTACATGAATATTCAATCGTTTCGCTAAGTAAATTACATTTTTGCGTGCAGGATACTGTTAAAAAGCATTGTTCCGTTATCAAAATTATAATTACCCGATACATAAAGCTCGTACAGAGGCGTAAGATATTGCAAGTAATTTGAATATAAACCAACGCGAATTTGTTTTTCATCGAATCTTTCGATTTCACACATTTCGTACCATTTTTAATTTTATATATCTATCCATAGCTCCGTCGACGAATTTACGATAATGATTTTTTAAATTTCCTTTCCTTCTCGTGGTATGTAAATTTTCTGAAATGAATCGATTAATGTTTCGAACTTAAATTTCCAGCACAACGTAATTTAAAGCGAATGAAGTTTTTATCGAATTGCTGAGAGGAGGCGATATTGGGCGGCGCCCGTGTGCTTAAAGCCGATAGACCAGTCGAGAAACGACGAAGCTTGTTGTTTATCGTAACGTCAATTCCGAACTATTCTCACTGCTGACTGCACATTTAAAAAAGAAAAAAAAAAGAAAAAAGAAAAGCTACCCTGTTCCGTCCTGCTATATTTTCTCCCGAAAAATATTCCTTTCCTTAAAATCGTCGGTTCGTTCGAAACTTTGATCTTTAATATCAACGTTTCGTTTCTCACTTTCACCCGCAAAATGTATTTTTTCACTTTGAAAACGATCGATTCCAAAGCACCATAATTCGATCGTGTTTTTGATAATTAAACATCATGTTGTTACGCGATAGGCACTAATTTGGCATTAGACAACACGTTGTTTTGCAATTTCCTTTTTTAATCATTATATGCCGTGACTGTCGGCTATTTTAGTTTGTACCAGTCACAACGTATAATCGAAATTTTATTTTAAATTCGTTAAAGTAAAATTTAGTATTTAATTTACGTAAGCATGCCTCCATACTATTATACTATACTTATACTATATAAATAAAGTAATATCGAAATATTCAAAATTGGCCGATTAGAGGTTAATTCCCTTTGTTCTACGTATAGTTGTAATTTGAGGTTAACAAAACAGTAAAATAATAAGAAAATGTCGATAAAGTATATTTCTCAAGTATTGAATATTCAGAATCTGTTGGAACTGTACACGCACTGTACTGATGTCTTACGTAATCGAAATTGTCAACGCGTTCAAGTTTATCGACGGGAATGTATTGGCTAAAAATTTGAAACGCAGACCTTGAACATGTTTTCGCTTGAATATTAGTCGTTCAAGTATTTCATTTAAAAAAAAAAAAAAAAAAAAAAATAAGAGTAGTGAATTTCTTTAATTCGAATCGATTATAATTAATAACATTTTATCGATTTAACAATTGTTCTCTGGAATCTTAAAACACTATGTTCCATCTTTGACTGCAAATGGCCAGCTTTGTTCCAATGGCAGAGAGATATCGATCAGAAAGAAAACCGACGAATGTTGCAACTTCTCGACAAGGACCGTGCACGAGTTCACATGACAAATCTACATGATGGTCTTTTGCTATTGTATATATCGTGTTTGAGCTTCGTTTAGCCGAGAGCTTTACCTTATTTTTTTTCTTTTTTGCCGCGTCCAGGTTGTACAAATGGAAATTCGTAGAAACGTGTACTCTGCCCGTAATTATTTTTCAAATAATGAAATGTCTCTTCTCTGGAAATGTGTAACGATCTCGGTGTTATGGCTCGTACGGTTCTGATGGTTTTCAGTTACTTCTTTCTTTTATTAAAGTACATTCATTACCGTAACGACTGTTTGTAGTTACCAAGGAAAATTAGTTCTATTCATATTGCTTTAAAACTACGCAAATGTAGATAATGAGTGTTGCATAATTTGACAAACCACGGGGACAGAAAATAAAAGATACAATCTAATTCTTAACAAAAATAAATATACTGCAATTATTTTATTTTGCCTGTGTTAATAATTTTATAACTCGTACAATTTTTTAAAAATGTATCCTTGACAAAACGTGTATTGATAAATTAAATGATTGCGTAATGATGAACAATGCATTGATGCTCACAGAGTGATAAGAACGAGAAAGGGAAAGGATGGAGGGGGTGGGAGTCGATATTGTGAAAATGCCATTGTTAAGAAATTTGAGGCTTTCCTTTGCATGGCGTGTTTTACAAGCAAACATCTCGAGATACTTGGAATCGGTAATCAGTAGAAAAAAAGCAGCGTTCGCAACAATCGCTTTACTCTATCTCCTTTAAAGTAAACGTTGCTTTTCGTGTGTGTAAATGCCTAGAGAGCATGTCTCGACCCTTTCGGATTCGCCAGTAAGCCACACGTCGACGGAACACATCAGCCTTCTCCCCATAGCAGTTTAGCTCGACATTCTACTGAATTGCGTTTTCACTTTTCCAGGTCCTTTGCGCTTTCTTTGTTCCCCGTTTCCCATCCTCTCCTATATCTTTTTCCCTCGCATCCCTCTCTCTTTTCGTTATTATTCGAACATAATCGCGGTAAAGATTACTATTCTCGTCCCAAGCACTTATATTTTTTCACGTCGTTCTCCTATTTTTAGAAGACCAATGCTCCGCCATCTTGATTTATTGCACTGACTACAGTCTGGCCAATTTACAGAACCAATCAACGATCGACATGTTTCATCGTCGTTACTTGTGCCTTATTCTAATAAATAAGTTATGTATCGTGTTGTCAAACAGTTGAACCGTATCGATTATTACGGTTCGTTGGTCAAACTTTAAGTGAACAGGAAATAGGCCGTATCGCTATTTCTTGGCGCACGTCTTTGCATAAAGCTAATACGGTAATGAAAGCTTATTTTCTTTTGATTTATAAATACGAATATTACACTTCTTAAGAGTCAACAAAGGTACACTTCTAAACGTGAGTTATTTCACTCGGTTTCAAATGTCACAAATTTTCATTTTATTATCAAAAAAACGGAAGACTATTTCAATTCTGTAGAAACGTAGATTTAGTTGCATCGATAGGATCCTGAAGGCACTAGTTTACAGGTGTTCATAATACGCCATGAAAAAGAATCAAAATACAAATGTCATGTGTCTTTTTTTTTTTATTTTACCGATAAATGGTGTCATTTTCAAAAATGGTACCGTTGTACAGAAAATGACAAAGTTTATACGTTTCTCCGTGCTACATCAGTGAATGTCTGTACCCTTCTACAGCTTTGGTTGGCGCAGGGCGCTCAGACACGCTCGGAAAGTAAGCAATAATGCGACTGGTGTGCTCAGCGCAGAAGCGGCACGTGAGGAAATGCTGCCACGGACACATGCTCGCATACAGGATATAGATAGAACGTATATGCATTTTCTTATACACATGGCACAGTCAATCGCGTGGTTTCGTGCAGTGTGAACCTGCGCACACATTCGTGGTATCACGGACGCTTGCAAAGCGCAGGATCGACGACGCCGTTGGCGGGATCAGCTTGGCTCGGATTGGCGAGAAAGAGCGTTCTTGGCTCTCCGTTGGTGGGGCGACACGGGGAAAGGCGGAGCCAATCGTCGACATAGCGACGCAACATGGCCTCTAGTTCGCGAGGGGCCGTGTTCGCGTGCACGTCGAGCACGTACGCGTACGGACTTTCCCCCGGCGGACCGACAGATGTCGCCCTGACCATCTTTGAATCGTCAAGCTCGACGTGACAATTGGTCCTACAAGGAAAAAAGAAAACCAAGAAGAAACCTGTTTTATTACAAAAAAAAAAAAAAGATAAAAAGTGATCGAATATCAATACGGTCAAAAGCAATCGTGAGAGTAAGTTGAAACGAAAAATTCAGTGCACACGATATATCGAGTTTTAGATGATAACCAAGAGCGATGATAACCAATTCGTCACATTTTGAAGCATCGAGACTCTCCTTGGATATTGTGAAATCCTTCTACTTGCCGAAGAAGCCAGCTCCTGCCAACTGATTATCACTTTGCAACGTGTATGTGTTCTTATATGACTGTATCAAGAAGGAATAACTTAAATTTATTAAACATATACAAAACTGTGAAAATGATAGTCAAATATCGCAAAATATCTCAGGCTGAAGTGCGTACGAAGTGCAACACTTTATCCGTGATTGTAACACTGTGCAAAGCTTTTATGTTGTAGTGTTCATATTGTATTTGTAAACCTATAAAGACATTTAATTGAATGAAAATATTGAAACGATACGACAGAGATGTTAGTTTACTTGAAATATTAAACGAGTAAAGTCATAATATTAGAAAATACTGTGTACATTGTATTGAAATTTTTACCTTGTGCCACTGTTCCACTGTTTTGTACTTCAACGCGAGACATTCGAAACCGTTTCACGACAATTGCGAGAGCTCGCCTATAAGTTTTTATTTTCTGTTTTATTTGTGAGTACAGATATTACAGGTGCGAGTTCACCTGATGACAGTACAACCGTTGCTCCCAATAACCCATGCTCTCCGGCTGAAACAAGCGCAGCAGCGCCGTCCAACGAGCAACAGGAACAGGAGCAACAACGGCAGCAGCAGCAGCTTTACCAACATCACCATTCTCAGTTTCAACAGCAACGTACAACCGGAAGTGCGTCAACCGCTGCACCACACGTTGCTGAGGATAGTGGAGCCCCCTGTGAGATGCGGAGGACACCACCGCAAAATAAAGGTGAGTTCATGCGTCAGGCTGTCAGGCTGTCAGGCATGAAATTTTCTTATCCAAAGCAAAAAAACACTACATCAGTGTTTTCAAAACTAGTAGGTGCAAAAGAAAATTTTTAACGTAGAAAAATGTGATTGTCTTAAAAATCTCTCAATAGATTTTATGTATTATTAGTACATTGTTTAAAACATTCTATCGAACGTAAGTATTGTTTTCTTTATTAAATGTAATATTTTAACAGGATCTACATTTCTTATTTACTCACGTATAATTTTATTTGTTCTCTGATCATTTTTTTATTTTTAATAAATGTCTAAAATGTACAAAGTAGATTTACAAATAAGGTTAGGTTTAATTGTAGCGTGAAGATGTAATTTTATGTGTACGATGTATATAAAATTAATATTTTTTGAACAACATTTTAATTTCTACTAATGAAAATCTTTGTATAAGCGTAAACAAAATAAAATCTTAATTTTTCTCAATTTGAATTACTAGTAGTTTTATACGAGATGAATTTGTTTGGTCAAACTAATTGCAATAAATTTATTCCATTTTTCTAATTTTGAAACCAAGTAAAATTAATTGAGTAATAATTGTCGATGTACTTACGTGTGTTGCATCTTTTTACCGACGCGTTGCAGTTGCATTTACCGGTATAGCAGTTCCTGAAACAATGGTTACATTTGATGAGCGTAACAATCGCATTGGAACATGATTGAACATAAAAAAAGTAATTTATTTGTTTCATATTTACAATACACATAATACAAGATATTGATATTCTATAATACACAATTAAAATTTATTTTATGTTGATAGAATCTTATTAAATAGGTAACGCCAAAGAAACGAAGGACAGGAAAAATGACAAGAAAATCCTTTGAGATTTTTTTTATTTTTGAATTTGTTTTTACAGCAAATCTGAAATGCATAATAAATACATATGTTTTAATACGAAGGAATAAATATATATGAATATTATAAATATAATTTTGTTTGCGCATTGAATACTGATACGTGTACACCAGAGAAGTTTAAAAAACAATAACGAAAAAGATGGAAAGCAAGCTACCGGTTCAACGTCCTTAATTTGTTTATTTTTCCAATAATATTATTTTATTTGTCACTATTCATCGTAAAATATAATTTCGCAAATTTTTGTTTCGTCTTTAAAACTAGAAATTATTTTATCGTTATTTGTACATTGAAAAATAAATTAATACTCGTAGTGTAAATGATAAGTGAGCGAACCCGTGGTACTAGGATTATTTGCAAAAAGGAAATATCGTATGGAGATGTTATAAAATTTCTTTAGCGAATTTTAACGACGTTGTTTACACAAAGTTTCTAATATCAGGCACATGATACGCAGCAGAGAGTCAGTAAAGAAAGTGTTTATTTATGCTACGTGGATGTATTGCGAATATACACTCGTAGTCGGTGTGGAGGCGCGCGCACGTGGTCCATTCGTATGCAGGGCGAATACGCGCGAGCGTGCAATCACCACCGATCGGTAATAATAGCGACCGATGCAGAAACAGCACTTAATTAGACGTGACATTCCCGAGTAGTGACGCGTCGGTATCGTGCGCGCGGTGCAGTGTGCCGCGCCTGGTAGAAGTTGATGGAGACGGAGACGCGGCGACACAGTCGCGAGCCGGTTCCTTTCTCTCTTAGCTCTCAGTGCTTCGCTATCGCGCGTGTGTGGGTGCGTTACGAGCGGCAGTGGTGTACACACGCTGCTGCCGCGGCTACTGAACCTCTCGACTGTCGTCGCGTTGCTTGCTCGTCATTGTCCTTCCTGTTCTTTCGCTGTGATACATCGGGGACCCTTTATCGGTACGCTACTACGTATCGTCGGTACCTCGCGTCGCGTGAACAGGTATGCGTTCGAGGCCGCGTTGCTCTTCGCTCGGGATCCCCGTCGCTGCTATTGGATGACCCAAAAGTACCGTTACTGGCAAGTATATACCGTCCGACCACGTGGCTCGGCGCGTGTTTCGACTTTCCTTAACTTTTAACGTGCGCGTCGGTGTCGTTCTCGCGTCGACTCGTTCGCTTCGATCAGCCTAGCTCGAAGAACCGCGTCGTCGAAACGGGAGTGCCGAACCTTGGAACACGTCTTCTGGTCTTCGCTGTCGAAGGAGAAGGACAAAGGTAGACGGTTCTCGATGGTGAGAGAGAAAGGAGCCTGGCGGCGGGGGGAGAAAAAGAGGGAGTAAGCACCGCGGTGCGAGGGAGAAAGAACACGCTGACTGGCAAGTACATTGGACACGTTTGCGCTCGCGGGCTGCGTCCATCGACACCACTAGGGTGATCGCACCGCCGAAAGGGTTCTATGTTGCAGTCGCTGCAACGGCGCACCATTTTCTAACAAACTTATTCAATCATTTCTGTGTTTTCGTTAAAAAATGAACGCAGAATGTTGAGATGCGTCGATTAACGTTACGAATCGAATACGAATACCGAGACAGTGATGTACCCGTGTCATTAATATTATATCATCGTTATCGATGGACGATAAGAAAGGAAAAAACGGTGCAAAAAAATCGTGATAATGTTACCTTTAGCGTGACTCATCGACGGTCAATTAAATTAAAACGAAGACTCGGGAGTGTTTAACGATGACAATCGAACGTGCACGTAGCAAAGTAAAAACCGGTTACGCACTATGTATCGCGTATTTCGCAGAACACGTTGGAAACACGATACACCGTGTCCCGCGTTTGCTTTCAATGTAGTGAAATCTTTTAAAAGTTTTAGCTCGAGAGCGATATGCTAATCTTTCGCAATATAAACCGACGGCCCGTAGGAGGAAACGGTGACACTTCACAAAGCGGTATCTGGCCTGACCTTGATTCTCGTAACGTATTTCGTCATTGTAGCGATCGATAACTAGATTTAAATCGGTACTTCGGTTAGCGGTTCGGCCATCGCGGCAACACGCTGTGTCAACTTCGCTCGCGCGTATACATATACATAATTTTTTATCTCGCAATACGGCGCATCATTAACGCGCAGCGTCTGGATTTTGCTCGTACACTCGACTTTATGAACGGATCAACGAACGATATCTAACGTTTACCGGTAAGGCGAAGCTCTGGCATCGGGTTTAACTTTAATACAATGATATTCGCGCGACATTCGTGCTTGTTGAAAGACGGTAGCGTCGTGTGTCGGTTTGTCATCGGTTGTACGATTATCTATATCGCGAGCCGTAGCAAGTTAATGAACTTTTCTCGCAAACAGTGATCCGATAAAACGTACGTTATCAGTCATAAAGAATACATATGCGATATCTTTTCTGGCTAGTCGAAGACCAATATTCGGAAAGGTCAGGAACTGGCCCCAAAAAAAAAGAAAGTAATCACGTCGATTAGTATTTCTTCAAAGAAATAAAAGTGCAATAACTCGTGTATTTTTCAGAGAATACACGTTCGAGCATCTTGTCGATTTTTAATGTTCCGATTCGTCGAGCGTATATATCGATATACCGATTATGGTCGACCGCCGCGTCGAGTTTCTTTTTATCCTTAAAATATTCGTTCGCGGATGGTTGTCCGTGCAACTTTCGCGAAACGCGTCGTGAAACATGGTTATCTTTGTACTGATTAATGACCGGGGAAGGGGGAGGCGGATAAATCGCTGTGTTCAATAGTTTTTAATATATTGGTTACCGAAGGTCAAAAGCAGAGAGATCTCTCGTGCAGGAAGTAGGAGGGCGAGCGTATGCTACGAAATAATATACGTTGTATTTCGCAGAAGCACGTACGCGTGTATATCAATGCACCGTAGTATTTGCGTATCATCATTTCGCGGTAAAAATGTTCCACAAATATGTACTCTCTTTCTAGAGACAGCATTATGCTGTGTGGTACCCGCGTTATGCACTAGCATAGGAAATATTTCGCCCGTTTTATTTTTAGTTGGTCAATTTTATCAGTCTTATTTGACAATTAAGAAAATTATTCAAAATGGTATTTTTATTTTGGAAATACATTTTTCTGTTATATCGATTACTTGTCAAATTATATAAAAGATTAATTATGCATATTTAAGTAAATCATTAATGATTTGTTATTACGTAAGAAGATTAAAAAAGGTACTGTTGCGACGCGAGCAGGACCTCGCAATTTAGCCTTTATGGCAGGGTTAGTTGGCGACAGTCAAGGCCCTCGGTCGAGCCGTTGGCCGGGCCTGCAAACGACCCTCAGCCTTTTGTTACTCAAGGGTAACCAAACGGAGTTTTCTAGACAGCTGAAATGCACGTGCGCGCACTTTCACTTGGCTAGCTTTCACTTAATTGTTACTAACATTCAAATTTACTAGAGAACTCCGTCCCAACCCCGGAAAGGGCTTCCTCACCAGAGCCTGCCCTTTCCGCCAGTACAGTCAAACCACATCCACACAGAACAACTACACCAATCATTTAGAAGCAACGACACTCCTACAACACGACACAGGTACTTTTTTAAAACTTTTGTTTCAAGAAAGTTGTTCAGAATGTTGACCTTGACAATATACTTCAAGGTCATCGAGATTTGTAAGGTCATTTCCATTCTGAATAATTACCATAATTATTTAATTTTTCTTCACGATTGTATTTTGCAATCGTTTCAAAGATCAGGTTGAGTCGGTTGCGTGGTAAACCTTTTGCATAAAAATGTATTCCTTGACGCTGTTGGTAATTATTTGTACTTTTGGTACATAAAGAAATTTTTTTTTTTAACAGATTTATCCAATTCAAATGTTCCGTGTTTGTTAAAAAATGTCGTTTCCGTATATGGGAAAATTCATTATTTTAGTGAATCGTTAATGTGTAGCGTTGTAACAGCGACGAACAACCGCAAATTCATTGACTAGCAGGGTTGATGTATTTTCGGATATACTATTCGTGAACGCCAGGTTTCATTGGCACAATTCCCTCTTCCTTGAAAGAGGGGAAGAACAGAAAGAGGAAGAGCCTACGATCAATGACCAACTGAAAGAGGTCTTAAAAGTGTATAGGGTAAAAGGCCCAATTACTGACACTTTAAGGATTGACTGCAACGTTGTTACGTAGTTTGTTTAGTTACCAACCAAAAATATACATTTTTATTGTTACTTATTATTATAAACAGTTCGAAGAAAAACAGGTAGTAACAATTTGAAAAGTGGAACGAAGAGGGAAATAATTTTTGCATGATTGTGTAGGGAAAAGATGTGCTGAAAATATTTCAATTTGGCAATCGGACACAAAGAATAGTTCTAAAAAAAAAACGTGTCAAAAGTTTTTTGTTTATCATTTTCACGGAATAAAAAAATGTAAAAGAAACGAAGAGTTTAGACATCAGGTTTTGCAGATACATTTCTCAAGAAATTGTAAAAAGAAATCAAAGATTTATAATAGAAGAAATAATACGGTAAAATACTTCCTAAAAAAAAAAACAATTTTGGGATAAGTGCCAAAAAGACTTGCTAATGTTATAAAGTAAAAGGAATATCCCGTTAAATATTAATTTTATCAATATAGTAATTTTTACAAAATTAGCGTAACGGAATAACTGTGTGACATGGCAAAAGTTTAAAGAATTGTTACAACTGGTTTTTATGTGATTGAAAACCACAATTTTTCGTATCTTTTTTTTTACAATTTTGTTACATCGAACTGTAAATTTGTGTATTTTCGAATAAAATAATTTCAAAAAGTTCTTCACTATCTCATTGTTCCATTCGTCTTTGTCGTATTCTCGACTGAACAATAATTTCAATAATTTTACGTCTTGACCGCTTCAAATTTCACGAAATACTGAACTGTGTTTTTAAGCATATAAACAAAATGTACTATAATTTCGTTCATGAAGCACAATGGTTTTTCTCTGCGATTCAGAAAATTACAAGACCACAAAACGCCATTTCTTTCCATCGATTTTATATTCGATCTATATTATTTGTTGTAGACATCAAACTGTATACAGTGACTGTCACTTAAAATCGTACACCTAGGGTTTCAGCCAATATTTTTGTCAATAAAACATGAAAATTGTACTAAATTATTGAAACTCGTATTGAGGCATATGGGAGATTCTAGAGGCCAAAATAAAACGAAAATCAAGAATACCAATTTGTTGATTGAGGCTTCGTTAAAAAGTTATTAACGTTTAAAGTTCCGCCTGTAGAACGGCAATCTGCGAACAGCTGCGTGCGCACGACAGTGGTTCCCACTCATAAAATTGTACCACTATCGCGCGCACGCAGCTGTACACAGGTTGCCTATCTAGAGGCGTAACTATAAACGTTAATAACTTTTTAACGAAGCCTCCAACAACAAATTAGTATTCTTGATTTTCGTCTTAATTTGGCCTCTAGAATCCCCTATTAAAATTTTTACCGGAGGTAACCGAACACACCCTGTATATTATTCTAAAACTGTATCTTATTTCCTCTGTAAAATTTTATTTAATTTACTGAGTACCACTGAAGGCCTTTTTTTATATTGTTGTTGTGTATCAAATAAAGAAATAATAGAAATAAGAAATTTAGTACAATTTTCATGTTTTATTGAGAAAAATATCGGCTGAACCACTAGGCGTACGATTTCAAGTGGCAGTCATTGCACGTACTGCTGAAAAATTAAAGATAAACATGGTTGCGTTGAAAATGTTGTCTCCGACAACATATTTCAAGGTCATTTAAATCGATACCGAGAACTCTGTTCCCTGTAATTACCAATAAAATTTGCCCAACATGCGTCTACCAAAGAATGCTCGAGGGATCGAGACACGATTCTTTCGGTCGATAAGCTCCACTTACCGTACGCGCCAGTGGCGCGCTGCACCGATGCGAATAAAGAGTTTAATGGCACGCCTTCCTGTAATGCGATCGTCCGGTAAAAGGCCACTAATGAATCGATCGCGGATCGGAACTCCCTATCTCCGCGCTCTCGGCCTTCTCGAGGAACTCGTTCTCCCGGGGACCCCGTGATTAACGGCCATACCCCCGATGACCGCAACCGTCGGTTCCCCCCTTGAAATCTTTACCGTCCTACCATCTTTCTCTCTCTACGATTCTGCCCCCCTCCCCTACTCTCTCTCCCTCCCTCCTCCCGCTACCCATCCCTCCATCTCTCTTCCCGACTCCTTCGACCGTCTTCCCTCTGTGCCAAAGGAGTAAGTACTGGTTTCGTGGAAACTCGTTCCCTGGCATTCCGTCGTTGTTCTTGCAATTAACCGGTGTTTTGTTCCCCACAGTCGATAGATCGGGAACCGGGCAGTCTGGAAGCTCGCCGAGGGTGACGCTTCGGCTCAACCAGGTGCGAGGGGCGAGGGATGAAAAGAAAGGAGGGGGCGCTACTAACTCCCGTCAGGGTGGCATGAACGCACAGGTACACGCGCGTTTACATGCATATTCGATACCGCGAACACCGAGGGGCACCGTCTCGATGAAAATCCGTTTAGAGAATTCTGAATCGCGATTCGCCCACGGCATATATCGAACACGTTAATCGAATATTAATCGATTCGCGACGACGCAACGGAAGCAATTAAGGAATCCACGATCGACATGCAAACGTATTATAGTCGGTAGATTTCTTTCGATAAACGCGTACAACGAGTAGAATTTTGTTAATCACTATTCATTTCTGAGAAAACGTGAAAGTAAATTGTTGCTGGTCTAGATTTCTTCGGTACGACGTTTTTAAATTCACGATCGTACGTATGTATTTCTTTCTGGTAAAAAAGATGAAAGAAAAATTGTGCGTCGAAAAGTCTGTTTCTAATGTAAACAAATGTTTTTAGAATCAAAGTCAAATGGAAACTTCGTCTAAGGCGTCGTCAAACGTCTCAGCGGTGACCGCGAATGCCGCCTCGGGCTCGAGTACTTCTGGGAACACATCATCGTCCGCCGCCGACAGTGGCGACGTCTATGAGTTCAAAAGTTCGAAGGAGCCGACACCGGTAAGAGGTTCGAGTTCCTCGCCGAACCCAAATCTTGAAAAAGATAAAGATGGCAGCAAGTCTTCTGGCGGTCAAGGTGGCCCAAGCGGTGGTAACAATACGTCCGCCGCCGGTAGTTCGACATCTTCTGGCGAAATAACAACGACGTCGGTCGCCACCGACGATGCACCCACAATTTCGGCTTCACCTTCGTCTAAACGTGCCTTCGAGAGCGATAATACCGACGAGCAGGATGAAGAAAATCGTCGGAAAAAACGGAAGGATTCGGAGCCTACGAAAGAGAATTCCAAAGGTGCAACAACCGGAAGGCAAAGTACCGGCAGGAATGCTGCTAATACGGGAGAAAAAGTAATTATTGCTCGTTATAGTTGTTATACGTTTCACGAAACAATTAAGTGGATCTAATAAAACCACACGACTGCGAGAGGGCCATATTGACAAGAATATAATATATGAACCTTCTCCTTTTTTGAGGTTGTTAAAAATATGTCTGGTTTAAGGTTACGATGAATTTGTATAATTAACGACTACATCGAACAATTAAAATCATTTTTAACAGCCTTATTTATCGTTACAGTGTGCGAAATCGGGTAAACAAGGATCTGGCACGGCCTCTGGTAAAAATAATCAAAATACAACTTCAAGCAATGCCGATAGGAAAAGTCCAAGCACTTCTTCGATGGCAAGCAGTCCGAAACCTTCGAATCCCTCTGGTTCAGCGACTAGTACCAAAACAACAACACCAGCACCTCCTGAATCCGATGGCGAAGATGATCGATCAAAAGGTTCGGATTCTAATTCAGCTCCTAAAGTGCCACCTTTGAAAATAGTTATTCCACAAAGTACTACATCGGAGCAAGAACAAGGTAATAGAAATGGGAAAAGCACGTCGAACAGAAGTCATCAGCTACCCTACGTAGTGGCAAGTTCGAACAGCAATGATTCAACGGATAAGGATCAAAGTCAGTCTGCCAGTGGTACGACGAGCCCTACAGAAAGTGGAAATAGTACTAAAAGCGAGGACAAGAAAGATTTCAGCGGTGCTTTACACGGAGAAGAGAGATCGACGCATCATCAAAGAGTACTCAGAAGCTCGCATAGATCTGGTAATGGCGGTAATGGCTCAGCAACGTTGAAGGAAACATCTGCCTCTGCTGGTAACGGAAACTATTCGAACTCGTCTCCGCTACCAGCAGCTGCCTCGACGGATCGTTCGAATAACTCGTCGCCGCAACAACGGCATCATTCGCCTACGCCTGAAACGACTGGTTCCGAATCTAATAAAACTAGTTCGACGGAAGCTGCGAGTAACAGCACCACTTCGAAGACGAATGTTATTGTGGAAAAATCGGAAAAAAATACCGAAGCCAGTGGCAAAAGCCAGAAAGATAACGGCACAGAGAATTCAGAAAGCGCCTCTGCAAGTACCTCATCAACTACGTCAAACGTAGGTACCCCAGCACCACCTGTCGAGCTGCATCCCAGGAAAAGAAAAATGAAACCTAATAAAGAAGCACAAGCTGCTACGGCTGCTTCTAACGAAGCATCTGAAGCAACTAATACGGGTCCAGAAGTACATCCACACGATCAACCCATCACTAATTGTTATCAATTATTCCTCAATATTAGAAAACAGGTTAACTTTTATTATTACACTGTTCAACAAGACCTTTTTGCTGGTTTCTAATAATCATTAGGCAGTCTTTGTGTTTCTCGTCTCGAGCATGAATCTGACACCCGGAATTGCTCCGATATCCTCAGGTTTTTAAAAACATGAATGTGTCTCAGTTTTTGTGTGTTTTCAGCTTAAAATCATGCATTTTTACAAAAATTCATGTTTTTTAAAAAACTAATGGTTATAGAACAATTCCGTTATTGGATTATCACCAAGTAGATATCGCAAAATAAAGTTAATGTCGAATAGTGTTATTAAAATATTTTGAATAGCTTCATATAGCAATGCAGAATGGTAATATTGTCTTTGTCGTTTTAGATTGAACGAAGAAGAAAGGGCCTTTTTCCAGTTCAACCAAAGCCACCTCAGGGATTCAAGGACTATTTAATGAATCGTTGTACATACGTTTTAGCCGGAAATGCGAATAAAGAACCGAACGTTAATCCACCGGTTGGATTGCAAGGCGCTATGAAGGATTTGTACGTTGAACAAGAAAAGGAGAGATACCGTCTCAGAATGCAGCACGTTGTTGAAAAAGAGAAATTAGTTTTATCGGTGGAACAGGAAATTCTTAGAGTACACGGTAGAGCTGCTAGGGCTCTTGCTAATCAAGCCTTACCTTTTTCTGTATGTACCATATTAAAGGACGAAGAAGTTTATAATGTTATTACTCCGGAACAAGAAGAAAAAGACAGAAATGCGAGGAGTCGATACAACGGCAGATTGTTTCTGAGTTGGTTGCAAGATGTCGATGACAAATGGGAAAAGATCAAGGTAAATATAATAGCGACTGATATACATATTGCATACCTGAATCGCTGCATCGACATTCGTAAGTTCCATACAATGTCCCTAATTAATTCAGGTTAGATTAAGATATGTTACGTAAAAACCAACTGATAAATATCATTCCCATATCAGTTTAAAACTGCGTAATACAGTGTTCCCGCGTTAAATGTGTAAAACAAGGTTTTTTGTGTTTTGAGAGTCCATATGTGACAATACTAAGGAAAAGGCAAAACATTTTTATTTTACACAAAAATTTTTTTTAATATATCCGTGATATTTCTCTGATTATAATAAGACCAAACAGGACATGATTCTAAGGGTGATTATTTTAGTAACGGGGATAAAATTTTCACATTTAACGTAATGTGCTTTCACACATTTATAATGGGAATACTGTATATTGATAGGTATTATCATCGTTGAAATTGAATTTCTTCGAAGGAACGAATTATCACAATAAATGGTATTATTTTAGGAAGCAATGTTGCTCAGACATCATAATGAGGCTGAATCGTTGCATGCTGTGCAGAGAATGGATTGGGAATGGAAACTGAAGGAAGTTGGACTATGTGAATTTAAAGCAACACCTCAGATAGAAGACATTCATGTTCCAATGGTACATGTTTCGGACGACTTTGACTTGCTCCCAGCTTAGTGTACAGTGATTATACAGTTGACTTGGTAACTCTTTTGCTCATACCTTTGAAATTATTTCGAAGGTGTGTTCACTATAATCTGTGATCTCTCTAACAACGTATCCGCCAATCTTTTACGATTACTCGATTATTTTGTATCAGTTCTGAAAATACTATCACACCTGGAAGAGATTGTTTAGGAAACAATTTGACTTCCTAATTGGATTACTTTATCGTGTTTATACTATTTTTGGCTCTTCAAAATTGTTCATAGCCTAATTTATTCCCAAATTGTGTATTTGAAATAATGAAGAAGTAAAGTTACAAATGTTGACTAGAGATTTGTAATACTTCTTACAAAGATAATAATTAGGAGTACAAATCTCATCCGTGTTAATAATTTGATACTGTATTTTGCAGTACTCAATGTCTATATGATAATGTATTGTATATATTTTGTACCTAGACCCTTGTAATAGACTTTTAGACAATGTATAAAAATTTTAGATTAAGAAGTTATGTAATAAATGAAACTGCTTCAAACTTCGAATTATCTTTATTGTTTTTTTTTTTTTAATTCTAGATGGTTATCGTCCTCTTCGATTGCTTTAATTCGCTCCATGACATTGTTCATTTTAAAATCTATTGGTTTATAAAGCCCCATAATGTTATTATAATGCGTAACATCTTCAAAATCATCTTGATTAAAAAACAGTGGAGATCCTTTTACATAGCAAATTGAGAACATACCATCTACATTAGGTACATGTACCTCATCTGCTGTAAAGGTAATCTGAAATATTTTATACGTACAATAATTTGCTATGAAGAAAATTAAAATAAAATCAGAAAAAACATATTTATGCATACCTCTTTTTTGCGAAGAAATAAAGAATAGATTTCAGCAACATACTTGTCTTCTTTAGGATAATAATATAAACTTGTTACATATTTCCTTGCTATCGAATGTATTAATAATGGATTGCCTATCGTAAAGAAGCCAAGAATTCCAAACATTCCTATAAAACCTAACATAGCATCTTGTTCAACAGCCCTCATATATAGCATAGGTTGAAACAATAGGGTTCCAAACGATGATACGAAAGAAAAAATTTTAATATTACGAATTTTGTTTGATAATTTTCCTGTATATATTAATGTTCTTTCCAATTCTTTATTACTTTCCGTACTAAAATGTTTTATATGCAACGTTGATGCACATTTCTAAAACAGACAAATAATACATATTAAAAACTCTTTGTTTAATTTTATAAAAGATTCAGAATAAGGAGCGAAGCAAAACCAATAATCACAAGTTTTGTATACATCATTATTTATTGTTAAAAATTTAATTAAATTTTTATCACAGTCGGAAATAACATATTAAATTTGTACAGGGAGTATTGCCTTTTTATTTATCAATGGTAAAAGAGATAGATTAAAATAGGTATATTCCTAGCAAACGAACATCTCACTGATCGAGGTGAGTTATACGTCATTCGATTCGTCTGATTCGGTATATTATTCATATGCATTTCATTATTTGCGGAAATTCGTTATTTTTGTTTAAACTTGCCGGATAGTTGCAATAAAAAAGCAAGGTTAAGTATATTTTTATTTAATTTTAATTATGTAATAATATGACATTGCTCATAATTGTATGTTGGCGTATATGTTAATTTTAAGAAATCTGTAGCTGAGTTAGGTCTGGGTTAGGTTAGAAGCCCGGGGCCACGCACCTGTTTGGTTCCCCAGGCGGCAGGGGAGGTGAACCCCTACGTGGCGCGTCCCCAGGTGGTGGATAAAGGCAGCCACTGGGATGGGATGCGGGGATGAGTTCATCAACCTGAGATGGCTGATGGCCGCATCCTCGCATGGCATCTCGAAAGTCGGAGCGAATGCTCCCGTGGACCAAACACCGGTATGAATGTGTTGCATGTGTGCATGCGTGTGTGAGTGGACAGGGGCATGGGATATTTGCCGCGGGTGTTACTCTACCACGGGGCCGCGGGCGCTGGTGATCAGGGGCCTGCGGTTGAGTGGGAATGCGGCGGGAGGGGCCTGAAAAGGCGCAGCGCGGCGGGGGACTCTGTGATGGCTCACTAGAGTTCCCGGTTCCTCGCCAGGCGCCTGAAGATGGTCACCGTGGGGTTTTAGCAGGTAAGAGTCCGGCACTACCCGCCGACCCTCGGTGTCCATGAGGATTTCCCCACATACAAAAAAAAAGGTTAGAAGCCCGGGGGGGGGGCAATATTTCGTACTGTTGCTGCACATACTGTCTACCTGACCTACTTCCGCATAATATCTGCATAAAAAAATGACTTTTATGCATACATGTTTGACAAATTAACTTTTGACTACCTGACATTTATAATTTACATCATGACGACAGTCATTTGTTTGTAACTGAGACCCCCCCCCCTGGGGCTTCTAACCTAACCCAGACCTAACTCAGCTACAGATTTCTTAAAATTAACATATGTGCTACCATACAATTATGAGCAATGTCATATTATTATATAACTAAAATTAAATAAAAATACTGCTTTGCAATGGTCTTATTTAATAGGGCAAATAATGGTCGATTGACTGTACGAACCTATCAAAATATACTTAACCTTATATTAATAACGAATTTCCGCAAATAATGAAATGAATATTGATAGTGTACTGAATCAGACGAATCGAATGACGTATAACTCACCTCGATCGTTGAACCGTCCGTTTGCTAGGAATGTTCCTTAGAATCTTTTCTGTAATATGTAATACTTAAATATGACCACTAATACTGTAAATATCTACAGAATGATTTATTAAGAAAATATTCTAACCTTAATATTATTAGGGATGCATGTAACGTGTTTAATGGTATGTTCCCCTGACGAAAATTTTCGCAAGCATTGCTTCCTCGCGATTAAAATGCCGGCCCTCAGTATTGATGTCATTATGAAGTATTATGTTTATTTTGTTCTATATAAATTACATAAACTTGTAGTAAAGATAATCTCGAAAAAACCCTAGGTTTAACAGCCTTATATTTATCTATGGGTATTTTAAATGCATAGGCAATGTAGTTGTTACGTCCGAAATCCGTCGGCGTTGGTGAGAAAGGATTTCCCTAGACTTACTTGGTTTATTATTCCTCCGGGGATGGCGTGCCGATCTGGTGAAGGTATTCCATTTCCACGTAGTAGCGCTGTCGTCGAGGATCGTCTTCGGGGATGTTGATAATGTTGATATACATATATCTAACACATTATATGCCGGATTGCCGGCTCGATAATTAGAATTATGAAACATATTTTTAGAGGATGAATTAATTAGATATTTATTATGAAGCACATTAAAATTTAGGTATTTTTTACTTTTATAAATATGATTAGTCTGAAGCGTTTATATTATCTTGTCCAATAAATGATGTTGATTATACTATTACCTATTAAATACTTTACTATCAAAATTTATTAAAAAATTTGTATTGCAAAGATGCCTGATACTTGTAATACTGCTTGTTAACGGAAACATAATTGTTTATCACTTTTTGAAGAGTTTTGAATTAATTATATATGTATTTTATTTTCAGATCGATGAAATTGACGAATTTCAATAAAGTGTTTGGCACAAATGCCCTTCGCAAGAAAGTGAAAGTAGCGTTAATATAAGAACATTGAATGACCCATAGAATTAATACGAGTTTATGTGAGAAGTGGTGTGCACAAATTTTAGGAAGAAAATGTTGCTTCAGCATTTCGCCCGTATCGTACCTAAACAAAGCTTAAATTGCATAACCTCTTTTAAAAATGTCAATATAGCACGTACATTCTACAACGATAAGAAGTCTGTTGTTCAGTTAACACAGAATAGACGTAAACAACGTGAAATCGCGAAATTAAAACACGAACATGACTTGAAAAAGCCTCTTCGTAGACCAACTCTCCGAACTAGCATTATATTGTTCTCGACCGCAGCGCCCGAAGTACACGATTTTTGGACATTGAATTTAAAGCATTGGTGGGCACATCAAAAAGTAGAATATAGAAAATTTGCTCAAGAAAGAACGTATGAGAAATACGTAAGATCGGGCCCTGATGTAGCGACAGCTCAATTTGTCCTAAAGTATGGCGGTAGAATAAAATTGAGAAACCATAACGATTGGATAGATAAAGATACGAAGGGTGGGCCTACAATACCAAAGGACTTCGATCCACATTTCAATCTAGAAGGAATAGATTTAAGAGGATATCCTTTAGAATACGATAATCTCCGTACAATATGTGATCTTTATCATCTAAAATGGCTCAGCCTGAAGGGTTGCAGTACCATCAACGATTGGGCCGTAGATAAAATAGCTTTTGAGTACCCAATGTTGGAACACCTCGATATATCCGAATGTATAAATGTTACAGAAAGGTCATTAGAAGCATTGTATAAAATACCAAACTTGAAATCGCTAGTTGTAACAAAGTATCATGATACTCCAGTGCTTGAGTTGACTTGTATCATGTTAGAAGATGTTAATCCGCATTTAAAATGTCACATTCTAATGCCAGAAACTAAATGTCTACTGGAAGAGTGACGCATACAATAGGAGATTAGACAAATTTTGAAACAGTGCTGTAACATGTCTTATAAAATATAAATTATTTCAATTTATAAACATACAAATATTTATATATCACATTTTTGCTCTAAAAATTAAGTGTTCTTTATCAATTTATTTTTTTCTCTACGTCTTTTTACATAATGTAATTCAGCCTTGTTTGTGATCCCATAAGCTTTTATGTTTTCATTATCATCCACTAATCTCACGTTTTCAAAACACAGGTGATACTTTTTCCAAACATGTTTCCAACTTATTTTTTTCTTGATTCTTTCTCTTCTCAGCGATAAATTCGTATGACGCTTTATAGCTTTTTTCAGATCTAAGACTGTAGTGTCGTGAGGAGGTACCTAAATTTAGAGAATATTATTAGTTTATGTTTTCTTAAATTACAGGATATTTCAGAGATATATGCAAATACTTAAGGAGCTGAATCACACTGAAGAAATTAAAAAACACTGTATGAACTTATATTTTATGCTTAGTTTTCGAGTTACGAATGATTAAAGAATACCAATAATCCAAATTTGTAGTCGGTTTCTCTATTTTGAGAGTTTAATATTATTCTAAAAGCTGCAAAACGATCATGTATGGTCTTCTGATTTGTACCTATTAGATTTTTACACGCAGGACTCTTTGAGAATACAAAGAATACAAAATATATTTTGATGTTGAGAAGTGTAACGGCATATGTGGAAGCATCTAGTGAACATTTTTTAGTTATTTTAGTGTGTAGATTCAGCTTCTTGAGTGTTTATGTGTATTTCTGAAACACCCTGTACGTTATCGTTAAACCTACTTAGACATTGTTCAAAATTATGAATACTTGTTACACACTATATCAAATTAACGATATTCGATAGCGTTCGAAAAAAATATAAAAAACTTTACCACAACTCCAAGTTTCGGCAATTCTTCACGATTTAAATATATAGTGATCGCTTGCCCTTGCGCAACAGCGATTTGAGCTTTAATTTCTTCGATTGTAACGTCGGTTGGTAGACCAGAAAGAAGCGGATCACTTTCGATTATATTGTCAATTGCTTCTTTAGTTAATTTCACTAATTCCTCATGATCGAATTCCGCGTTCTTATTTCTTACTCGTTCTTTTTGGAACAAATCTTCATCTGTGTGTTCCTTTAGATTATCCGATTTAGTATCTTTAACGATACTCATCGTTTCGTCTATAATTATTTTATACAGGTTTTCAAGGACATAAAGATAAGAGAAAAATTTCAAATAACATTAAGATGTGCGTCTTGGAACAGGGCACAATTCATACTTATATATACACATATACATATCATGTATAGATATGTGAATATATATATATATATATATATGTACAACAACAAAATGTTATATACAAGCATACGTATACGTATTTACGCCGGGTAGTATTAGACTATTCTGCTCAGAATCAACGCATGCGCACACGGTATTTATTAGTACATTGAGGGCGCGGTTGTCACCGATCAATCTCGGTTGCATTTGTATGTATGCAGTTTATTCTGGAATTCTGTGGGCTCCGGTACATTGTACTCAAGTGCACATTGTATTTGATGTTCGAACGTTTGTCAAAGTGCGGTGATCGTCAATTGTAATTGCACGATCGGGCGTACGAAAACAAATTTCGTGCGAAAGGTGTGCCAATAATTAAATTGGAATAGGACCGAATCAAAACATCCATCAATATGACGGTATTCATAAAGGTCCTTGGCCAGAAGACGGACAAAATGGAACAACCGTTGTTTGTCGAAGAAAACGTACCGGTTAGCATTATTGTTACATTTACCGAGCTTCGGGTTTTATACAATCTTGACATTTATAAAAACAACAATAATACGGTCCTTAGATACGTTGAACGTTATCCTTGTTCGTGGTAAATAAACATTTTCAGTTTTCGAATGAGATCGCTTTAACGAATTTTATACTTTTTAATTAAATTTGTTATTACGTACGCAGTATTATCTTGTATGTCCTCTGATACGGGCTACTGCGTATGAGGCACTGCAATCGCATGTGATAATAACGATATCTCACACATACTCACTATCTGTGTTACTACAGTTGGATTATGGATACTGAGACCATACTTCTTTAGAAAATCATATTCATGTATAAGAACATTTATATAACTGGACTATTAATTCTATCAAAAAATTGTTAAATAAGAGTTGTATGTCATCAAGTAAAATGCATAATACAACAATTAGTTTTTTGAAGATTTTTGGTTTTGATGATAGAAAATATCCAAGTAGTGTTTATATTGTAGGATTTAACGAAAAAGAATTGTATTTGGAACAAATGTACAAATAATATAACTAAATGAACGAATTTGAAACACAATAAACACACAATCTTTTTACACAAATCAAAATCTCGTTAATTATCCACACAAATTCAAACCACGTCTGTCTCTTTCAATCACTCGTTACTCTCTCCCCGTTGTTTCGCTGTCCCTGGTAACCCCTTCTTTTTTAACAAAACACACTCAATCCTTTTGCACATAACTTAACATTACTCCAAACTACAGCGTGACACAAACATTCAACACACATCTCCGAACCGAACTGCAGCGTGACACAAACATTCAACACAAATATCCTACAATATTTACATAGAACTGTAAATATGTTAGATACTTTTCAGTGTATACTGAAAGCTAAATAAACAAATATTATAATATTTACCAAGTCAATTTACAAAATAAACTTTGATCTGAAACAATAAATTTAGCGGCTTTGAATCTTTACCGGTTGATTAAATTGACTGTAAAATTTCACATTTAATGATTGACTTATTTTAGGAATTAGTTACACAAACATTCTACGTATTCTTCATTCTTAAAATTCTAATTTATGTTACTTGTAAATTACATTAGCTGCAATATAGATGTGACTTTAATTTTATCAATTGTGTTATAAATAGCAATAATTCATTTTTATAGAACATTTTATTTACTGATGTTTATATTATTAAGTCAATATCACATTTTTGTATTAATCTGTATTAATTTATTAATTTCTTTTTACTCAGAATCATAATAATTCAAAGATTAACAACATTTTTTATATCATGTAACTTATTTTTTTTAGCATTTTTTTATAATTACCTTGTATATTGAGACATGTATAATAATTGCGTAATTTGTGTATTATTAATTGTGCTATATTTTTTGGAACGATTTCTTTCATAAATAAATGTGCGTTCTCAAATAGGAAGAAACAAAGAAGGACCCGGAAGCACAACTTCAAAAAACTAACGTTGGAGGCAAATATATTGTCTCCCGATGGAGTATACGTGGTATTCATGTTACGGCAACATTTTTGCTATTTCTTGTCGCGTTAATGATTCTTATGATTGGAATTATTGGCGGCCTATACATATACAGGCAGTGCGCACGAACGCAAATGCATAGATTCAGAACGGGATGGTACAGCATCCCTTATGATAACTCGAACAAAACTCCCTATGCTAGCAATAGAGTTCATCAGGGATTATTAGCGGATTCTGATTTATTTAAAAGTCTGACAAGAGCCACTGAACAAGAAACTTTGGACATTGAGAAAAATTTGGATAATGTTATCAGAAGGAGTTCCTTTTTTAAGGAGCAATTTGAAATTGATTTGGAGAATGAGCATTATGAGAAGATTTATGTGCCTGATTTTCGTGGTGGACGCCAAGGCCGGTTCATACATGATTTTAGTATTGTATGTTTAATAGATCCAAATATTGTAAAAATGCGTTTAACGTAAGCGATTGCGTTACATTTAATTTTAGTTAAAATGCACAATTTATGTGTGTTATTCCAGAATAAAACTGGCATAATTGATATCGACGGGCAATGCTGTTTTGTTATGCCATTAAATCGTCAAAGAGTTTTACCACCACGCAGTATGTACGATCTTCTTAGGAAAATGTATAACGGTAAATTTGTTATATTTTCGGAATGTATAAATTAAATAGAATCGATACTTATTTAAAAAATGTACACATCGTGTATTTACAATTTTTACAGATTACTATGAAGTAGACACAGAAATTGTACGAGAAACAATGAGAGTAATTTTACCACCGATCACTGATTTATCTACTGTTGGAACATTCATAGCTCGTGAATGCCAAGATTTACCAACATATATGCTGGCAAAAGTAAATTCGAATGGTTGGTTATTAAAATATTGTAATATCGTATGAATTGTATACAATATATTACATCATATTAATTCATTCATTTTTATTTTATAGTTGTGAAGCGTAGCATATCGAGTGGTGTGTTTGGACAGTTTGCAGGGAAGAATATTATAGAATTTGATATTTTGAATTTAGATGATGTTACTGCGTATAAAAACAGCTCAAAAAATTGAACAAAAGGAATTTCTAATTATTCTAGAATATTTACCACCAGTAGATCAATGTATAAAAATTATATCCAGCCCAGCAAACTTAGGTAAATCCAACGTGAATTCCAGCAAATTAGTCCTGTTTTTAACAATCTCTCTTTCTATAAGAATTCTCTGATCGATAACTATTTATTTTTAAAGGTACGTTCACATTTAGTCTTCCCACCGTTTCCAATTTTAGCTTTAAATCAGTAAAACTATAATGAAAATAAAACATATTAGTTAATGTACATCTGTTTAACATTTCATGAGACTTTAATTTAGCGGCAGACTGATTATAAGTGGCTGATGCGATTAAAGAGCTATTGCGTTTTAACATTAACGTTGATTAAGTTCCAGAGAAACGCTGATGGTGCTTATTCATAAGGTAGAATTGCATATTTTTATTTGTTTATTGACTTCTTATGCTTAAATTATTTAATACGCAACTCTAGTAAAATGATAGAAATACATGTTGAAATCGGTATATACTCAATGCATAATCGCACGATTGAATGATTAACCTGTGAGCTGGGGAAGACAACTTATCTTGTCTTATGGAAATGTTTTCGCATCGGGCAAGACGAGTCAATTCGTTGCAAGCAATAATAATTATACTTGTACAGAAAAGATAAACATATCATTCGTTTTTCACTGTTACTACAAAAGTAGCCTTCTCTCTCAATAGGGCCGAGTACAGGATTTTACTGGGAATATTTTCCCGAGAACTGAAATACTTCTCACCTGCGTCTCTATTGAGAGAGAGAAAGAGAGAGGACTGCGTATGTATTTGTATTAGAATCAAATAGCGTCATATTCACATTTGTTGTGGGTAAAACGAGTGACTCGTCTTTACTGATTATATACAGTGCGTTGTTGGTCGAAGAAATGCAACCCAGTTAGCAAGTTAATAATTGTACAAACTAGAAATTATATTGTTTCACCAATCATGTACTAGTTCTATAAATCACGAATGAAACATTTTGACAAAAAAAAAAGGACATTTTTATGAATATGTTTAAAATCAATGATTATTTAATGACTAATTCAAATATGTTTATACAATATCTGTTTTCCCATTAGATGATAATAAATGTTGTATAACAAATACGTGTGATCTGTTGAAAGAAAGTTAACATTTAAAATATGTACCGAAGATTATGAGATATGGGTAATAAAGTTACTGTGACCAGATCAGTAGAACGAAGATTGAAATTTGAAGCACGTGATTTAGTAGCTCTATAATGAACTTCCTTTCTGTTTCTTTTTAACATTCCTCTTGCAAATTTCAATTCCATTGATGTCTCATCGTAAAAGACTTCTAAACTGTAGAAGGAAGTTTGTATAGTGGTATTTTATCAAGTTTGTTTATTTAAAAGTTAACGCGATATGGTACATGCATGGTTATTTATTTGTATAATAAAAATATTTAACAAGTATCTTTTGTTTGCGACTGTTAGTAAATAATTTTTTGAGTTTTGGTACTCGTAACTAAACTGATTTGATGAAACAAAGAAATCGGCGTCAGTAACGTTTGTTTTAATATTACAATGCAATTATACAGTATTTAAAATTGTGATGATCAACATGTATATACGATTTTTATTTACATTGCCAAATCATTTACCAAATAATTTCAATAGAGTTTTCTATAAATGAAAGCGACAATGATACTCAGAGATATCTTATGAATTTTATCCTACGTATTATTACAGACAAACAAAATATTCTTATATAAATATTCATTTGTCTTCTATAGGAGAAAATAATAAATGAAGTGATTATCAGGATTAGTTACTTGTTCTTTATTTTTCCATTTGTTATAAAAATGCAACATATGTAAAATGTTATTTATTGTATCTAGAATATTAAATAAACAATGAGAAAGCTGTAACCATCTATCGAGGAAATTATTTTAAGGAAAATTGTCATATGAATATAGGTTGCCTTCAAAACATGAAGTAACTTTTGAAAAAATAGAGGTTCGTTGCTTTGGTAAATTATAAATCCAGTAAATTTGTGTACTAATCAAAGATTTTGCTCTTAAATAATATAGTTCATGTCGAAAGAGATTTTAACACCATCGATCCATTGAAAACGTGTAATTTGTTAGTACATGTGTTCCTTTAAAAAATAAACAAAATTAATATAAATATATTTTTTCAAGTTATGTAATGTAAAATTTAATGAAAAGTGAATTTATCTCTTCAACAATCTCTTAAAAAATTTGTAAATTATTAAGTATTTATAATTGTATAAGATTCCGAAAAAAGTTAATCTGTATCAAGACTAAGCAAAAAATTTACTTTATATTTTTATATAATTTTTAATAAATCCATTAGTGGACATACTACATTGAAAAAATAAAGTTTCGATTGTTGCATATCCTATACAATGGACATACAACATTTATACACCATCGAATTAAAAAAATAATCATTCAGAAAATTAACAGATTCGTTAGATTGGTATAGATCGTATTCGATAAAATCCTAAAATTATTATTACGTAGGAGCAATAACTGACCAACCTCGTTCATCGACTTTACGTTCACAAACACGTACAGTGGCTCACGAAAATGTTCGAACGCATGCAAGAAATAAATGAAACGAAAAAGATATTTATGTTAGAGTTCAGTTTCGAAGTTAACATCTTAATAGCTATTAGACACAAGTATCAGGATAATATGTGCAAAATTTCAACTCAATCCAACAGTGTATATTGAAATTAAGAAGCATTTATTATACAAACGTACTGCATGAGGGTCACGAAACTGTTCGAACGCGTGGAATTTATTGAAGTAAACATTGTTTTGCTTCAAAATATGTAAACATTTGTAAGTTGATTCCGTCTCTAGGCATCGCAAGGTAAATTCTATGTCGTTAGTTGTTGATTATCGTGTGTTCAGTGACAATGAATTCAAAGAGAACAGAAACGCAAATATGCGAAAGGGAAATTATAGTGAGGATGCACAAAGATGGAAAATCGTATCGAGAAATAGCTAAGTGTGTAGATAGAAGTGTGTCCACAGTCCACTATATTATAAAAAAGTTAAAAACTGAAGCTACAGTGATAAACAAACAGCGTGCAGGCCGGCCGAGTAAGTTAAGTGCAAGGGAACAGAAGATTGTTGTTCGCGAAATTAAAAAAGATCCGACTATTTTGGCAACAAGACTTGCTCAAATGGTTAGTGAGGATTTCGGAAAAATTGTTCACCCCGAATAGTCCGCAGAATACTGCGGAAAAATAATTTTAATGGTAGAGTACCAAGGAAGAAGCCATTCATCAGTAAAGCGAATAAAGCTAAACGATTAAAGTTTGCAAAAGAATACGAAAGTAAAGATTGTAACTTTTGGAACAGAGTTATTTTCTCCGACGAAAGTAAAATTAACATATTTGGGTCGGATGGACGGCCATATGTGTGGAGAAAACCGAATACGGAAATGAATATGAGAAATTTACGCCCAACTGTGAAACACGGAGGAGGTTTGGTTATGATTTGGGGGTGTATGGCAGCAAGTGGGGTAGGAAATCTTGTATTTATAGACGGTATTCTAGACAAGGCCAAATATTTACATATTTTAAAAGACAATTTAAAAGAAAGTGCTGTTAAATTTGGCCTGTTAGAAAATTTTTACTTTCAGCAAGATAACGACCCTAAGCACAAAGCCAAGATTGTGCAAGAGTGGCTATTATATGTATAATACACCACATATGCTGCATACACCAGCTCAAAGCCCAGACATGAACCCCATCGAGCATTTGTGGGCCGAAATCGGTAGAAGATTAAAAAACCACAATATTTCATCAAAGGATGGATTAAAACAAAAAATATTACAAATATGGAATTCCATTGAACCCACAGTGACGGAGAACTTGGTGCACAGCATGGGACGACGTCTAAGTGAAGTAATTAAGGCAAAAGGAGGTCCAACCAAATACTAACGTAGTGAAAAATGTAAATTATTTCTTCCGTTCGAACACTTTCGTGACCCTCATGCAGTACGTTTGTATAATAAATGCTTCTTAATTTCAATATACACTGTTGGATTGAGTTGAAATTTTGTACATATTATCCTGATACTTGTGTCTAATAACTATTAAGATGTTATCTTCGAAACTGAACTCTAACATAAATATCTCTTTTGTTTCATTTATTTCTTGCATGCGTTCGAACACTTTCGTGAGCCACTGTATGTATGTATGTCCAATAATAGCGTCCACTCCACTCTTAGCTCTCATATTCACAATAGCAGACGCTTGAATGAAATATTTGTTAGAAAAATAATAATAATATTAAGGAACACCATATGGTTTTCAGAATGTTTAAAAACTTGTAATGCATTTTGTAATATTAGAATGACCGAGTGTATTAGCATGGAGATAAGTATTATCATGTTGTCTATTTTATTTAAAGGTAAATAATTGCACTTGATCGTGTATTTTTAATTTGTATTTATACGCCTGTTAAAAATACCAATTTCATCAGGCTCCTGGAGATTATGTCGATCACATGTAAGTTGGGTTAGGTTGTAAAACAATCTTATTCGCTGAATCTTCACCCTTTCACCCTGCTTGGTATATCATGTACATTATTTTATTTTATTATGCGAATAAAATCCTTAAATAAAAATAAAAATAAACGAAGATCGTGATTTTGAATTTCAGGTAGCATCGACATTTTAGTCTAGTAACTACTATAATTATCAAATTGATATTGATCGTTTTAACGCTATATTAATTGTAACTTAAATACATTCACGCCATTCGAATACAATAAAATATTTTGCGTACGCGTTACTGGACGAAACTAAAAGTGAACTGGACATATTATTTGATATAAAGTCAGGGTGAATGGGTTGTCGGTTGGTCATTCTCACGTAATAACAATTTTAGGGTATTTCCTGATTTCTTGAAATTATTGCCCAAAACATTGATAATTAATCCAAACGACAAAAAGAGTTTGTTAAGAGAAAATAATATTTTAATCAATTAAACAAAATAACTTAGCAAGTATTTAATCGTTTTTGGTATTATGAACAAATTATTACGAACTCACGACTATATTATTCTATACGTAGGCGCGTTATTTTATTGAAAAAGTCATTTCTCGTGCAACCTCTTTCCTAAAATTGTAGTAATTTTCCAATATTACAGATACGAAAATCGCCGAAGAGAATTTGAAACAGGGATGAAAATATTCCGATAATTCGTTAAATTTATATGATAAAATAAATCAAAGAGATTGCGTTAAGATATTCTTTGTTGTATTATTCGGTTCTCTTCATATTTTTCCAAGCGAAAACATTTGAGGAAATGCTAGGAAATTCTAAAGCGAAAATCCCGATGCGAAACAATATTTACGAGGTTCTGCACTGTTCGAGCATGCTCAGTGACTAGTTTGCAAATGTGTATAACCGGAGGAAAGCCATTGGTAGGGGTCCCGTTAAAATAAAACTTCGATTTTCTGCAGCCATGAGCACCACCGTACAGGAATAATTCTTGGTGGTGGCGCAATAGCGAGGTGACCAAGTTGTAGGAACGCGGCGCCTGCTGTTCAGTTAAGTTAGCAAACCTTGCCGGCCGTAGTCAGTGTTGTCAGTATCGTCGTCGAGCGTGGTACTACGCCAGTAAACGCGAGGTATTGATTGCGGTAGCTTGTGCGGGTTTCTCAGGCACAAAGGATCGATCGTAACACTTCGTTTGTCCCTGAATTACAAGGTATTGATCCCCCGTATCGTGTGTAATTCCGAAACAAAGGAACGCGATCAGTGGTATTCCATGCAGTTCCGTATTCGGAAGAAATAGCTTGTGATACCTCGCGCAGCTTTCGTGTAACGAGGCATCGGACTCACGCTTCGTGCTGCATTCAAATACGAAGGATTCGATCATGGTATTTCGCGTGTACTTTAAATACGAGGCAAATAATTCGTCGTAGCACGTGTAACTTCGAAACATACAGATAGAGAGAGAACGATCGTGGTTATGTTGTACGACTAAAACAGAACCCAACTCGTGGTATTTCGTGTCGCTCGGATGCGTATAAAATTGACCGTTAGTTTCGAACCACGTAGGATCGATGTTACGTTCGTTGATTATCAAAAAGTCGTGTATTCTTATGGTATCGAGCACTGATCGGCGCACCGCATGAAATTTCGAAACAAAGAAATTGAACGTGACGCCTAGTGTAACCCCCGCGATCGATCGTAATTATTACGCCTTTTTCCAAAATATTCAACGTCCGTTTGTCGCGGTCTTACGGGATTTCTGAAAATAATACAACTCGATACGATTTATTACTTTCATAGGTACTGGTCGGTGTAGTGTTTTAAATAGAATAATTTTATTCTCAATGCACGATCGTTCTGTCATAGCGTTCCCGTGTAATTCCGAAATATATATAACGAATCGATCGCCCAGTACTTCGCGTAGGCTCGACGTGCGAACTACTGATCGCAGTGCCTCGCGTATCCCTAAACTGCCAAGTATTGATCGTCGCGCCTCGTGCAGCACCGAATTAAAGAGACTAATTGTGTTACCGTGCGTAATTCCAAGACGCGGGCAGTTCTCGTCCCATTTACGTGGGTGGCTTCGAAATAAGGGGGAAAAATTCTAACCAGGTAGAGGCGCCCCAATTGTATCTCGCGTTGTTTGGAACTGCGTCAGTTTCATCCTGTTAACGCGTGGTAAAGCTACGAAGCACGGTGACTGTCCCGTGATATGACTCGTGTCAATTCTGACATCTAAAGGATCTGATTGTGCTACCTTTCACAGTTCCGAGGTGTGAATACCTGGATTCAGTGGAGTGGGTGACATTGGAACATGGACATCAGACTTTTACTGTTAGCCCTGGGTATCATCGGAGCAATGGTTGCCTCCGTGGCGACGAGGCTCGGGTTCCCCGGGTTCAACAAGATCGCTCAGATTTTTCTAGCCCTGGTGCTGCTTCCGGTGCTTTGCAGATTCCATCGGAAGCTGTACATCGTTTGCAAGATGCTGCCGCGCGACGTTAGGTGAGTAACAAACGATTTGTTGTCGTTGCTGGACGCGAACTGATAAAGGCGTGGCTGTAAATGTTCGGAAACCTTTCGATTGTAGGAATTACATGTCGGGTGTAGGAAAACTGCACACTGTGCGCCATTGCGATCGGGACGATCCACGCTTCTTGTTTCGTTCAGGATAAAAATAAAACTACGAGGAAAAAATGAATTTTTCTTTGTAAGATATCTCCAACGAATGACACGTAGGGACGGTTCAAACAATTTTTGTTATGCGATGTCGGAACGTTCAGAATGCGGTATACGTTTATATTGAGAAAGTTTTTAACACATTCTTGTGATGCTTTTATCGGCAGAGTTACGAGAAAAATTGATTTAATTAAACAAATAAATATTTGCATTGTTATGCTTATAAAAACAGTAAGGTCATTGAAAGGTAGGTAGAAGTTATGTCATTCGACACTTTCCTTTATTTTGTTTGCCTGTCTTTGACGAGGTTCATGGTGTACGACCCACCCCAATAGGGCGACGCACTTCGTACAGTGGAGCCTCCATTATCCAAATGGTCTATTATTCGGTCTGTTTCCATTCAGGGTGCCGAATTTTCATTTTCATTACTATCTAAGGAAATCTAATGTTTCTATCGTTGATACAATGACGAGACGAATCAATCTTGTCTGGAATTATTGTCTTAACATTTTACTTTTATGGTCTTTTCACTTTATTGAAAAATGATGTATACAGGGTGCGCCGTTAGAATCCGGACAAAAGAAGTCTTGTGTAAAAATTTGTTTATTTAAGCCAATATACAAAAATACAAAAAATGCTGTTATATCTCATTTAAAAGCTCCTTGTTGAGAACTTTTATTCTATATAACCACCCTGCGCCTCTATAACCTGCTCGATTCTTGCTCTAAAGCGCGAGCACGCTGACTTCAATTGGTCGCGTTTCATGGCCGTGAATTCTGACTCGATAGCAGCTCGCAGGGAGTTGACGTTGGGGTGCCTGCACTTGTTAGTGTGTCTCTCGATTACGCCCCACACGTAGTAGTCCAGTTGGTTTAGGTCGGGGCTGTTAAGAGGCCAGAAATCCTTCGACCAAAACATGTCGACATTGTCAGAGAGCCAATTTTGAACAAGATGTGACTCGTGTGAGCAGGTGCGCCATCTTGTTGGAATAAATACGGCCTTCCAGAAGCCATAGTCTCCATCCACGGCTTTACTACTGTCCTCAGGACCTCCAAATAAACCTCCTTTGTGATTGTTTCGCCTTTTTTGAAGAAGTGCGGCGGCATGACATCGCCCTCACTTGAGACGACGCTCAAAACGTGAACACCGGCTGGAAATTTTGTTTTGCCTACAACAGGGACATCCTCGGGATTGTGGGCAAGCCAACGGTCGTTCCTCCTGTTCACTTTGGCATCCACGGTGAAAATTTTTTCATCAGAAAAAAACCTAATGTGGCCAGCAGCTTCGTGTTTTAATGAACACAGAAGCAAATTACAACGGGCAAGTCTTTTAAGCTTGGCGGCCTCGGAGAGCATCTGACGGACTTTGAGAACGTAGGAGACATATCTAAGATCCTCTTGAGCGATTCGACGGACAATCGTTTCACTCACCTCCAAGACGGAGGCCAATTTTCGAAGTGAAGTCCCTGGATCTTCCAAAATCATGTCTTGGACCCTTTGAATGATTTCTGGCGTCCTTGTTGATTTTTCCCTAACCTGAACTTTTCTCGCCGGAGAAGGAGAACCCTTCTCGAACCCCTCTCAGGCTGCGTATCTCTTCGCAACGTCGTATACCGTCGATCTCGGGTACCCAAAGAATTTTATAATTTCGACCGGCGTTCTCCCGGCGCAAAGGCTTTCTATAATCGCCGCTCTTCTATTATATTCCGCGCTTGGCTTGACGGGGTCTGTCATTTTGAGGTTATAGAAGTCTTATTGACGTATAATTAGCACCAACCTCTGAATTCTAATATGGTGGGAAATTCAAATTCAATTCTGTCCGGATTCTAACGGCGCACCCTGTATATACAATTTCTTCAATAGATATCAGTTTATAAAAGTTTAGAAAAAGAACATTTCCAGTTGCATTGCTATCTTCGTGCAATAAAAAATATCTCCCAAAGTGTTTTTAAATACTTGACGATTATATAGAAATATTCCTCATTTACTTTTGTCAGTTTTTTGGAATGGAAGAATAGAGATTTTCATTTTTTTCAAATACTCGTACTCTTTTATTTGTCGGTATACAAGGTCAGGTACAAGGTCAGGTACAAGGTCAGGTACAAGGTCAGGTACAAGGTCGTTCAAGGTCACAGGAGGTCATAGAAAATAGTAGAGTAACGATCCTTGCGTTATAATGCATGCTCGAAATAATGACCACTAGTCTTTGAGTGCGTCAAGTGCACGTCTTATAATTTCTGGATTCATTCTAGCATACTCTGCAATGATTATCTGACTCATATTTTCCGGTGTTGCTAGTCTTTCTTTGAACGTAATATCCCCTGATGCTCTTCAAAGGAAAAAATCATGCCATATTAAGTCCGATAAACGAACTACAAAATTGATTCTTGTTTGATAGTTTGGTTTTCAATTTATTTAATTACTATTAAATAAATAATAATATATTGTGGGAATTTGGGGATTCAAATGAGCAAAACTCGACTTCCTCTCGGTAACACGCATTATTTAATAAACACGAGGCTTCGTTACAGACAAAAGACACACGGTACAATAGTAGTAAGTCAGAAGAACTCTAGGTGGCGCAGAAACAAATGGCGCTCTATTTCTGAAACAGAAACATAATTATATTATAATATACATCTATATGTTTTCATGCATATAGTATTATTATTCGCCTCGATTAAACGTAAATATGTAATAAAAATTTGAGAACGCTACCAAACGAATATTTACTCGTCAAAGGGTTAAATCGGATGTTTTGGTCAGGCTTCGTAAGGCCTGTGTCCAATAAGAGAGTTCAGGGATTCCGGAATAATTTTTCTCGTTGTACGAAACCATTTTCAATCGATGCTACAATAAATTTATGGGAATGAAATCAATTTTGGAAATAGTCCAATTTTTTTTTCTCGTGAAATATTTCCAAAACGAGTATCGAAAAAAAAGTTTAGATAAAAATTGCCTCTTTTTTGTTACAATTAACTTGTAAACAATTACGCTTTTCGAGATACTTCCGCCGTTATTTCCATTTAATCTTTTAAATTTATGCAAACACATTTTTCCATGATCTCTTTGATATATTTCTTCTGGATCCTCGACTGATCTCCCACTCGTTCTTAGATTATTTATAACTCACTTTACTTTCTCCGATTAGTAATTTTTTTTTTAATTCCATTATATCTTATTAAGCGAATATAAAATGTCATGTTACGTTAAAATTGAGGAAACGCAAAAAATATAATTATAACCGTTACAGCATGGAACTCAAATTTTAATTAAATTGTAGAGGACGAACGAAGTTTCTCGAGCAATAAATAAAGGCGAATCTAACCCAAATCGATTAAACCTTTGACTAGACATGACGTTTATATATACACTTTCTAAATGTGGACGGTTATTTACGAAATACGCATCTACAGGGTGTCCCACGATATATAATACAACTGACAAACAAAAAAATTACATAGAAAATGTACAGATCACTTTTCAAGAAAATTGACTTTGAAAACTTGCGGGATAAGTCTCGATTTCATTGGCCTCTATACAGAGTGTCCGATCACCCATGGGAAAAATTTTAATGGGTGATTCCAGAGACCAAAATAAGACAAAAATCAAGAATACCAATTTGTTGATGGAGGCTTCGTTAAAAAGTTATTAACGTTTAAAGTTCCGCCAGTACCGAATTTTTTTCTCGAAAATGCGCAAGATTTTGGGGGTATGTCTATTCACAAAAAATGATTGTAATTGACCCCCGCAACCGAAAATAATTTTTCCAGAACGATTTGAAATTTTTTTTTTTCCGCCGTCAAATTTCACACCTTCTCGGATTTTTTTCTAGAAAGTGGGTAGGATTTCGGGGGTATGTCTATTCATAAAAAATGTTTGTAATTAACCCCCGCAACTGAAAATAATTTTTTTAGAACGATTTGAAATATTTCTTTTTCGTCGAAAAATTTAGGCACCTAATTAGATTTTCGGTAAGGAATTTTTTTCTCGAAAGTGCGTAGGATTTCGGGGGTATGTGTAATGACCAAAAATGATTGTAATTGACCCCCGCAACCGAAAATAATTTTTCCAGAACGATTTGAAATTTTTTTTTTCGTTGTCAAATTTCACATCTTCTCGAATTTTTTTCTAGAAAGTGGATAGGATTTCGGGGGTATGTGTAATGACCAAAAATGATTGCAATTGACCCCTGCAACCGAAAATAATTTTTTCAGAACGATTTGAAATATTTGAATTTAATTGTTAAGGGGTCATTCTGGTTTATCGGGCCGAAAAGTGAGGTAAATTCTATGAATTTTTTCTGATTTAAATACTTTATATATTGAAATAAATACATGTAGTATTTATTGTACTATCTTTTGGCTTTATGAAAAATATTTTGTTATACATAAACAATTATTATTGTTAGTGTTCTATTATGGCAAAATGGCAGCGGTTAAAAACGCTGTTTTTCTTTTACGTTTCTTTTAACCGCTGCCATTTTGTTATTTTTTAACAGAAATTGTTCGACGAGGTACGGGCGATAGCGACATTCATGCCGATTAAAAATCTTGTTCATTTTCTTCTTTCAGATAACCCTGAAGACTGTAATCACCTACGCCAGCAACTTAGGTTTTTTTTTCAGTGTTATATTTACGCTAATAGAACACTAACAGTAATAATTGTTTATGTATAACAAAATATTTTTCATAAAGCCAAAAGATAGTACAATAAATACTACATGTATTTATTTCAATATATAAAGTATTTAAATCAGAAAAAATTCATAGAATTTACCTCACTTTTCGGCCCGATAAACCAGAATGACCCCTTAATAACTTTTTA